AGCGTCGTGAGCCTGCGTCTCGTCCTGCGTCGCCTGTTTGTACTGAGCGCGCTAGTGGTCGCGGGTCGCGTCAGCGTCCTCCTCCTGTCCCTGGCACGCACCAGATGTCACTGCGTCCGTCCACTGCTCCTCTACGTGCCCCTTTGCCTTCTCCTCCTACTTCCTCTCTTCCTGCTCTTGCCGACCCGGAGTCGGACTCTCTTCGTGCTGCCAGTCCTACTGTCACGCGTCTCCTTGCTACTGCTGTCACTGACCCTTCCTTCGAGTCGTCTGCTGCGTCTGCCCTTGTCACTGAGCTTGTCGACTTTGCTGCGCGCTGTCGTCTAGACTACGCTGCTCGTCTTGTCACTGAGTCTGAGTCCGCCTGTCCTCCGTCCGTCGGGGGTGAGTGTGCCCTTGGCACGGACGTCCTTGAGGACGGGCAGGAGGAGTTCCAGTGTCTAGCCGCTGCTTCACCTCGTCTCGCGTCTGTACTGCTAGCCCCTGAGGGAGACCCGGATGCACCAGACATCCCGACTCCGCGCTCTTACGCGGAGGCGATAGAGGGTCCCTACTCCTCTCAGTGGCAGGCAGCTATGGATGCAGAGATGGCTTCCTGGAAGTCCACAGGCACCTACGTTGACGCTGTTCCCCCTCCTGGGGCGAACATCGTCAGTGGCATGTGGATTTTCAGGGTGAAGCGGCCGCCGGGTTCTCCGCCTGTCTTCAAGGCGCGTTACGTGGCTCGTGGCTTCAGACAGCGGCAGGGGGTTGACTACTTTCAGACCTTCTCCCCCACCCCGAAGATGACCACTCTTCGGGTTCTGCTGCACGTTGCTGCTCACCGCGACTACGAGCTGCACTCTCTCGACTTCAGCACAGCTTTCTTGCAGGGCAGCCTGCACGAGGAGATCTGGCTGCGTCGCCCACCTGGCTTCACTGGGTCTTTCCCTCCTGGTACCCAGTGGAGTCTCCGGCGTCCAGTCTACGGTCTCCGCCAGGCGCCACGTGAGTGGCACGACACACTGAGGACTACGCTCGCGGCACTTGGGTTTGCTCCTTCTACTGCCGACCCGTCGCTGTTTCTGCGCACCGACACCTCTCTGCCGCCGTTCTACATCCTCGTGTACGTCGACGACTTGGTCTTTGCCACAGCTGACACTGCTGGACTCGCCTACGTGAAGTCCGAGCTGCAGAAGAGACACACGTGCACTGACCTGGGTGAACTGCGTAGCTACCTTGGCTTGCAGATCACCCGGGACAGAGCACGCCGCACCATTACCCTGACTCAGTCACACATGGTGCAGCAGGTCCTTCAGCGCTTCGGCTTCACGTACTCCTCGCCTCAGGCCACTCCTCTGCCTACTCGCCACTCGCTCTCAGCTCTGCCTTCGGATGAGTCCGTAGAGTCGAGTGGTCCGTTTGCAGAGCTTGTTGGCTGCCTCATGTACCTGATGACCTGCACACGACCTGACCTCGCATACCCTCTTAGCATTCTCGCACGCTTTGTTGCTCCTGGGAGACACCGACCAGAGCACATGGCTGCAGCGAAGAGGGTGTTGCGTTACTTGTGCAGTACGTCGGGCATGGGGCTAGTGCTTGGAGGGCGCAGTCCAGTGGTCCTCACTGGGCACGCAGACGCTTCTTGGGCTGACGACCAGGCTACGCAGCGGTCGTCACAGGGTTACACCTTCAGCCTTGGTTCCGGCTCTGTCTCGTGGCGGGCTACCCGCTCGTCTTCTGTTCTCGGCTCCAGTTGTGAGGCTGAGATCTACGCCGGGGCTATGGCTGCGCAGGAGTTACGCTGGCTCACCTACCTGCTGACCGACCTTGGAGAGCAGCCTCGTTCTCCTCCAGTCCTGTACGTAGACAACAAGGCCATGCTGACCTTGTGTCGAGAGCAGCGACTGGAGCACAGAACGAAGCACATTGCTCTGCGCTACTTTCTTGCTCGTGAGCTACAGCAGCGTGGACAGTTGCGACTTGCGTACGTGGCCTCTGAGGCCAACATTGCTGATGTCTTCACCAAGGCACTTGCGCCTTGTGATCATCAGCGTTGTTGCACGCAGTTGGGTCTTGTGCCTGTCTTGCCTCACTTGCTCTCCTCTTGACCTTGCTTGTACCTTCGCCTATATATACTCTTGCTCTTGCTTGCTTGACTCTTGTATATCTCTATATATGATCTTGCATGTGAACTGGCCGTCTGGCCTTTGAACTTGTGCTCGGAATGCGTGGTGACTTTGTGATCCACCCCGAGCTTGCTTTGCTTTGCTTTGCTTGACTGGTCTTGTGACCCCTTGTTCTCCCCCACTTTGCCTATGGGGGTGTGTCAGAACATATCTATAGCTTATACTATTGTGTAGGCTGTAGTGGGGTATCCCATAGGGGGTACAACCCAGTTAGGGTTTCATATTTGTACTGCCTTCATTCATAGTTCACTCATTCCTGTTCATTCAGTTTCACACGTGCACGCATTCAAAGTATGGCGCTGCTACTTGACCGGCGCAGACGTGACCGTACGGACAGACCATCGATCTCTACAGTACCTCTGCGCACAGCCCCACCTCAACCCACGACAGATTCGATGGCTCGATTTCCTTGAGTCGAATTTTCATTATACGGTCACATACAAAAAAGGAGCCTCGAATATCGCCGACGCACTGACCCGCCTCACTGCCCAGATCCACGCGATACTACTCGCCTAGACCAGCCCGCTACTGACAGGCCTATTTACCCACGAATATCAAACAGACCCGTTCTTTACAGGAGGCAACTCACAGCAATTCGCAGCGGCAAAAGGAGTCTATTACGTAAAAGCTGGAACCGACCGCATCTGGGTACCAGGATACACGCTACTGCGGGAACTACTGTTACAGGAAGCACACGACGGAGTTACCTCGGGACATTTCGGGGTAGAAAAAACACGGCAGCAGCTGCAGCGGTACTACTACTGGCCAGAAATGTTGACCGATGTGCAACGACACGTGGCATCGTGCTCCACTTGCCAGCTCATGAAGTCAAGCAAGAAGCGGCCGGCGGGACAATTACAACCCATCCCGCCCCCAGAGCGTGCTTGGCAGCAGGTGACGATGGATTTCGTCACGGGGTTACCAGCTGGGGCGAGTGGGAATGACGGGATCCTGGTCGTCGTCGATCGACTAACGAAGATGGCTCATTTCGCAGCATGCAGGAATTCAATCACAGCCGAGGAAACCGCCCGACTCTTCATCACCACCGTCGTTCGACTGCACGGGATACCCGCATCGATCATCAGCGACAGGGACACGAAATTTACAAGCAACTTCTGGCGGAACCTGTGGCAGCAGTTCGGCACGCGCTTACAGTTCAGTTCGTCCCATCACCCCGAAACTGACGGACAGACGGAACGGACAAATCAGACCATGGAGCAGCTGATTCGAGCCACGTGCGACGATCCGAATACGTGGGAACAGCAGCTGCCACTCATCGAGTTCGCATACAATAACGCACCATCAGCCACGACGCAACAGTCGCCGTTTTACTTGAATTACGGACAGGATCCAACAGTACCCATGACACCGAATCTCGACAACCCCGTCCCACGAGCACAACAGTTCGCCGAGATTCTGCAAGCAGCACGGACCAGGGCAGCAGAAGCAATCAAGAAATCAAACATCATCGCTAAACGCAACGCCGATCGTCATCACAGACCCGTTACTTATCAGCCCGACGACCTCGTTTTACTCGACACTCAGAACCTCCGCCTGCCCATCACTCCAAAACTCCGCCCTCGATACTGTGGGCCATTTCGAATCAGTCACATGGTTACGCCAGTCACCGCGCACCTCCTCCTCCCTGCTGACTGGTACGTCAGCCCCTCGTTCCACGTCAGCTTACTTCGCCCTTACGTGCCATCCACCAGCCAACTCCCACGACATCGACCCACCAGCATGACACGACCACCAACCGAACCAGTCATCACCCCCGACAAGATCCTGAGCCACAGAGTTCGCGACCCTCGAGGAGCCCGAAAAGTGGAGTTTCTGATCCGCTGGAAAGATCGTACCCCCACCGAGGACAATTGGGTTCCCCTGGAGAAAGTTGAAAATCACCCCGTCGTCACCGACTACCTGCGTAGCCGCAATTTCCGAGACATCCACGCGCTTTCATAAGGAGGACCTCCTTAGGAGGGGGGGTAGTGTAAGGAAATTCCCTTTTCCTTACTTCGTGTCCCTGCTCAACGCATACATCACTGTAGAACCTCAGTCAGCACCGTTACCACTCGCGACCATCGCATCATTCATCATCCCGCCCTTTTCGCACATCGCATCCCGACCTCACGGCTCGGCTGGTAACCCGCGCTCCGGGCCTACGCTTCGACACTTTCCCAACCTCAGTCCCAGGCTCGTCGCGCGACCATTACCGTTACCACTATAGTTTCGCTATATAATGTTCGCCCATGCCTTCGCTCATTGGTATTCTTGCTTCGATAGTGCAATTCTAGTTCGTTCACTCAATTGCACTCGTAACAATATTCTACAAATAGTTTGAAGAAGCCAGTTTAGGGTTAGGGTTAGGTCTTTCCACCTCCCTTATCACTTCAGTTAGCTTAGTTAGGCCCATTCTTGATCGATGGTGAGTTTGCCGTGGTCGTCTCTACGCTGCCCCGTTCTTGGTCTCCCCCCCACCTATCGACGACCTAACCCTTCTTCTTTTCGATATCCTACGATGTGTTGCATCACGCTGACGTATGCAGGCAAAGCAGCGAGGGGCCAGCAAGCCTGTGCCGGCCGCAGGTCATGACGGTCCGTATTACCCTCTTCACCTTCCCCTCGTACCTGCCAAAACAGTCGTTAATAATACCCTCGTCCCTGGTACCTCGTCACCTCACCCGCAACCTGATCCGCTTCCGTTAATCAGGCTTGTAATCCGCCTTATTGGTATCCCTACTCTCGCGTGCTAGACATCAGCCATTTGCCCTTCCATAATTGACGTTTTTGTTCTCTTTCAGCCGGTCCTTTCCTATTATTCATATTTATTGGATGACCTTTACCTCCTTTCGGTTCGCCGTTGCTGCGTTTCACGGTCGGCTTTAACCCTAACGCTCCTGTTGACGTTCTTCTTCACGCCTTCCGCGCCTGCCCCGCAGGTTCGGACGACGACGCGTACCCATCCCCTCCCAAGAGGCTCGGCCGAGGCAGCAGCGTCCGAGGCTCCAACCTCTCCACAACAGCCGCCGCAGCTGCGGCCGCAGCGGTAGCGGCGGCGGCGGCGGGCGCGGGCGCGGGGATGGTGGGGGGCGGCGGAGGGGGTCCCGCGGGGATGGAGGGCGTGGAAGAGGGGGGCGCGGGGGGCGGCGGGTGGGAGGCCATGCTGCAGCAGCTGGAGCGCGACTCGTATCTCGCCGTGCTCCGCGCGTTCGGCGCGCAGTCCGAAGCGATCACCTGGGTAGGGCTACCACGTGGGTAGGGTGACCACGTGGGTAGGGGCGATCACATGGGTAGGACGATCTCCTGGATAGGGTCGATCGCGTGGCGATCACGTGGGTAGCGCACCATGAGGGTAGAGGGATCATTTGGGTAGCGCGATCACGTGGGTAGGTGCGATCACGTGGGTAGGTGCGATCACGTGGGTAGGTGCGATCACGTGGGTAGGGGCGATCACCCGCGTAGGCGGATGCCAGTACGTCGACGCACATCTTCCACTTCCATTGCCCCTCTGCCGCACTAGCTGAGCCGTCCCTTGGTGCATGCATGGTGGCTTGGTGGCATGGCGGCATGGCGTGATATGGCATGGTGGCGTGATATGGCACGGCATGGCATGGCACGGAATGGCATGGTGGCGTGATATGGCATGGCCTGGCATGGCATGGCATGGCAGGCGAAGGAGGCGCTGATGTCGGATCTGCGAAAGGAGCTCTTCTACTCCCTTTGCTCACTCCCCTTTCATCTCTGCTACACGTCCTCTCATGCCCGCATGCGTGCTGATGATGTCATGGCATGACTTGACGTTGCATGGCATGGCATGTTGGCATGGCAGGCGAAGGAGGCGCTGATGTCGGATCTGCGCAAGGAGCTCAACATCTCGGACGACGTGCACCGCCTGCTGCTCGCGCGCGTGCATGACGACAAAAACATCCGCCTCATCTGGTGGGTTGGTAGGGTAGGGTGGTAGGGTCGGCTGGTTGGTTGGTACGTTGAATAATGAGGCAGCTTAGAAGGCACATTTCGGGCGAGGTGCACCGTCTGTCTGCTGCTCGCACGCGAGTGCATGACGACAAGAACATCCGCCTCATCTGGTGGGTTGGTAGGGTTAGCTCGGCTGGGTTGGTCGTTTGATGGGGTTGGCTTGGCTGGTAGGGTGGGTTGGTGGGGCTGGTTGGGCTGGTTGGCTTGGCTGGTTGGCTTGGCTGGTTGGCTTGACTGGTTGGCTTGGCTGGTTGGCTTGGCTGGTTGGCTTGGCTGGTTGGCTTGGCTGGTTGGCTTGGCTGGTTGGCTTGGCTGGTTGGCCTGGCTGGTTGGCTGGTTGGCTTGGCTGGTTGGCTTGGCTGGTTGGCTTGGCTGGTTGGCTTGGCTGGTTGGCCTGGCTGGTTGGCTTGGCTGGTTGGCTTGGCTGGTTGGCCTGGCTGGTTGGCTTGGCTGGTTGGCTTGGCTGGTTGGCTTGGCTGGTTGGCTTGGCTGGTTGGCTTGGCTGGTTGGCTTGGCTGGTTGGCTTGGCTGGTTGGCTTGGCTGGTTGGCCTGGCTGGTTGGTTTCACGGGCATTTAAATAAGGCACATTCAGGACGGCGTGCACCCGCCTACTGGTGCTTGTGCGCGTGCATGCATGGCGACAGGAACATCCGCCTCATCTGGTGCGTTGTGTTGGAAGGGTTGGTATTCACACTGTCATGCACTGTCACGCCCTCCGTTTTGGCTGGTATCACTGGGTTATCCTGTCGCTTCCAACATCATACCTCCCATATACGTCTTTCCCATCACATGAACACACCCCACCACCTCTCCCCCACCCTCCGCCCCTTTCCTGCCAACCCCCTCTCTCAACCCCCACCCGCTCTTTACCCCCACCCCTCTTTCCCCCCCACCCCTCTTTCCCCCCCACCCGTCTCCCCTCCCCTATTATCCCCCTACCCCCTTCCCTCCCATCCCCTCATCCCCACTTTCCCCCCGTTCCCCCCATGCGCGCAGCAATTGAAAGACAGCCATATCTGCTGATTTGAGTCCACTAAAAAATGATTTCCCCTACTACTCCCCTTCCCCCCTGTTCCCCCCATCCCCGCAGCAATTGGAAGACGGCGAGGGATGCGGGGGCATATGTGCACCACCCGCCTCCCCCTCCCCCCGCGGCCGCGCCTCCCCCAGTTGCACCCGCCCCCGAGCTCATCCCCCCAGCCTCCTCCCGCAAGCGGCCAAAAATGGCCGCCCTTTCTGCCGCGCCGTTGGGGAAGGGCGTGGGGGCGGTGGGGGGGGTTTGGGGGAGTGGGGGCGGGGGTGGGTGCGCCGTTTGCAGTAACACCTGTTGAAGCTGTTGGGTCGGGGCGGAGAGGGGGGAAGGGGAAGGGCCGACGCGGACGATGGGTGAGTAGCTTTTAGTTCTGCGGTGCTCTTCTGTGAGGATAGTTGAGTGAGTGGGTGGGTGAGTGAGGGGGCGGGCGTGGGTGCGCCGTTTGCAGTGGCGCCTGTGGAGGCTGCGGGGTAGGGCGGAGAGGGGAGAAGGGCAAGGGGCGACGCGGAAGATGGGTGAGTGAGTGGGCGATGAGTATGGGGGGAATGATGGCTGCATTGCCAACGTCAATATCCACCCAGAATACTTACATCCACCCAACTTATCCGTCTCCCCACTCTTTCCCAACTTCCGCTTCCCTTTTTCCCTCAGACCGTCTTCCAGTTACCCTGCTGTCCGCCCCCTTCCCGCTCCCCTCTTCCATCTCTCTCCGTTCTCGCTCCATCCCTCCTCCTTCCCCCGCCGATATCCCCCCATCCTTCATCACCCTTCCTCCCTTCCCCCCCCCCCCCCCCCCCCCCCCCGTCATTTCCCATTGACTCCCGCTCCCCCCTCCGCCCCTTCAGTCCGCGGGTGCGCCGGGGGGAGCAGGGCGGGGCGCAGGGGCGGGAGGATTGGCAGCAGCACCAGGGGCACTGGGGGGGATAGCCATAGACCCGCTCATAGGCCGGCGGGTGAAGACGCGGTGGGTCGAGGAGGGAGGCGGTTCACGATTCTATGAGGCGGTGATCACGGATGTGCGGCCAGAGGATGGCATGTACTCGCTGGTGTACGAATTGAACACACCGAACGAGAGCTTCGAATGGGTCGACCTGAATATGGTGAGGAGTAGGGGAGGTGGGTGGGTGGGTATGGAATGGACTAAGGCGGGTGAGAACTGCTGTTCTGCTGGCTGTGGGAAGGGTTGCGGGTCTAATGAGGCGGTGATCACGGACGTGAGGCCGGAGGATGGGATGTACTTGCTGGTGTATGAGCTCAACACGCCCAATGAGAGCTTCGAATGGGTCGACCTGAATATGGTGGGTTGAGTTCGGTTCAGTTGGGTAGGGTTGGGTTGGAACGGGTTGGGTTGTAAGTTGCAGCGTGTTTTTGAGTGCTCTTAAGGCCGCCTGGAAGATGGTATGTACTCGCTGGTGTATGAGCTACGCCAAATGAGAGCTTCGAATGGGTCGACCTGAATATGGTGGGTTGAGTTCAGTACGGTTCGGTTGGGATGGGTTGGGTTGGGTTGTGAGTTACAGGGGGGTCTATGAGGCAGTGATAACAGACGTGAGGCCGGAAGATGGGATGCATTCGCTGGTGTACTCCTCTCATTCCCCCAGACTCAAAGGAAGACATCACGAGGTAACTTTTGAGTCGACTCATAAGTCAGAAGATGGGATGTATTCACCGGTGTACTCCTCTCACAATCTCATTCCCCCAGAACCAAAGGAAGGAAGACATAGTTTGTGTGCAAGGCCCCCGTCTGTGATTGTCTTGATTTCATCTGCCCACCCACGTTCACCCCTCTTCCCCCGCTCCCATCCCACATCTGCGTTTACTTGCCAGATTCAAAACTGACTCTCTGCCTCTCCCACATCTCCTCTCACTCCCCTTCAGATTCCAAAGGAGGACATCATATGGGTGGAGCCCCCCCCACTTTGTGCTTGACTTTATTTCATCTGTCCACCACCCACTTTCCCCTCTCTTCCCCCTGCTCCCACCCCACCCCCACCACCCCCCAGATTCCAAAAGAGGACATGATATGGGTGGAGGGGGCCCCCCAGTGCTCGACTTTCATCTGCCCACCCGCCCTCCCTTTTCCTCATTCGTACTTTCTCTCACCTTCTCGCTTCCCTCTCCCCCCCTCACCCCTTCAGACCCCAAACGACGACATCATATGGGTGGAGGGCCCCCCAGTTTGTGCTTGACTTGATTTCATCTGCCCACCTCCCACTTTCCCCTCTCTTCCCTCGCTCCCACATCTCCTTTCACCCCCTTTAGATTCCAAAGGAGGACATCATATGGGTGGAGGGCCCCCCAGTACCCGACTTAACTGCACTCCTGCCCCCCCTCTCCCCACCTGCCCTGCACCTCTTCTCACCCCTTCAGATCCCGAAAGAAGACATCATATGGGTCGAGGGCCCCCCAGTACTCGATTTTATCCGCCCACCCGCCCTCCCCCTAGCCGCCACCGCCGCTGCTGCTACCGCCCCTGCTGCTGCCCCCGCTGCTCTTATGGCTGCTGGGGTGGATAAAGACGGCAAGAAGGCAGCAGCAGCAGCAGCAGCAACAGCAGCAGCGGCAGCAGCCGCAGCACGAATGGCCATGGCTGTCCCTGCTGCCGCTGCACCTCGTGCACTGGGGAAAACAGGACCTGCTGCTGCTGCTGCTGCTGCCGGCGCTGCAGGAGGGACAGGGGCAGGAGGGGGGGCGGGGGTGGGAGCAGGAGGAGGGGCTGGCGCGAGCTACTATGGGAATGTTGTGGGGGTGACGGCAGGAGGTGGGCCTGGAAAGGGGGGGGAAGGGGAGGGAGGAGAGGGGGTGGCGGGGTGGTTGAGGCGAGTGGCGAGCCTGCCGCCCCTAGTGGAGATACTCAAGGTGAGCGTTTTGAGCTTAAAGGTGAGGGTTCGAATCTGGACGGTGGCGGTTAACTTGGAAGGGGAGGGAGGAGAGGGGGTGGCAGGGTGGTTGAGGCGAGTGGAGAGCCTGCCTCCCCTTGTGGAGATTTCAAGGTGAGCGTTTTGAGCTTCAAAGGTCAGGGTTCGAGTCTGGAAGTTGCTAGTTTGGAGATTTGGATTTTCTTTTTTTCTTTCTTTCAATCGTGGGTTTCAATTGCTGAGTGTGACCATTCCGAATGCTGCAGCTGAGAAGCTTACGGCCTGAATGCAAGTTGTTGAGTCATGTCACGCGTTGCAGTGAGCCACACATCTGTTTGTTTACAATTCAAGATTCTTCAAGATTCTTGCTCCCCTCCCTCACGGCCCATGTTCTCCAATGCATCCACGTCAGCTGGGGAATGTGGAAGACGAGGATAACCTAGTCAAGCTTGCAGATGCCAAGAGGCTGATCAAGGTATGCTGCTCCCTAGGCATAGTGAAATCACTTCTGAGAATTCTCAAAAGTGTTTTTAACATGTTGCTCCCTGGATATAGCTCTGCTTCTTATTATGTCTCTTATAATGCTCCTGTATAAGACAGGAGCTCCTGTATATGACCCTGCATGTGTCAGTGCTCAGTGTCCTATCTGGTATGATCCGTCGTTTCATTCTTTCAACCCATTTGCCGTCGATTCATCTCTGCCGTCAATCCACCTCTGCTGTCGAGCGATCCCTGCCGTCGATCTTTTTCTGTCATCAAACCATCTTTTCCATCATTCAATCTATGCCGTCGATTCGTCCCTACCATCAATCCATCTCCGCCGTCAACCCATCTCTACCGTTGATCCATCCCTTCTTTATTCCAATTCTGTGTTTCAGGAGCGGGAGAATGAGCTGCGAAGGGCACTGGCGATACTAGGAGAGGACAGTGAGGAGGACGAGGAGGAGGAGGGGAAGGAGAGGGGAGGAGGAGTGAGGGAGGAGAAGGGTGGCATTATCAAACGAGGCTCTTCCAAGCAGTCAGGTGCGTTCCAGGGTTGTGAGAGCGGGAGTGAGTGAGAGAGGGAGCTGCGAAGGGCACTGGCATTCATAGGAGAGGACAGTGAGGAGGATGAGGAGGAGGGGGGGAAGTAAAGAGGGGGAAGGGAGACTGGCACTGTCACACGAGGCTCTTTCATGCAGTCAGGCGCGAGGGGTGGAGACGGATGGGGAAGAATGGAGAGGGTGGGAAATGGGTGGAGAGAATGAGAGAGGGGTGTGAGGAGGTTTGTTTGTTTGTTTTTCTTCCTTTTATCTACTTCTTTCTTTCCTCTTCCAGTGCTGCGTTCCAATTCGTTTGCGTGCCCCAAACAAATCCCCCTCGTTCTCCCCTCTCCTTTGAAAGCAAACCATGATGCTGTGTATGTTTTTCCCCTCTCCTTTGCAAGCAAGTCGTTTGCGAATTCTCAAAAAACATACATTGCAAGCAAACTATGGTCCTTCCACTCACCTGCGGAGGCTCCTATTGTCTCTTCTTCTCCCCTTTTTTCTGCTTCACTCACCACCATATTTTCCCGATTTTTCTGCCCAACCCACCAACCTCTCCCTTTCTTTCGTCCTGCCCTCCACCCCCCCCTTTGTTTCTCCCACCCCAGTCTCCCCTTCTGCTTCTGAACCCTCCACAGCCAGTGGCCAGGGCAGAGAGGGGGCACCAAGGGGAGGGGGAGGAGGAGGGGGAGGGGGAGGAGGAGGGGGAAGAGGGGGAGGTAGTGGAGGAGGAAGGGGAGGGGAAGAAGCAGGAGGTAAGAGGGGAACAGGAGCAGGGGAAGAGGGAGGTGGGCGGTCTCAATTGTCTTCTAGCAGCCGGTCCTCTGATGAGGATGATGAGGATGATGATGTCAGCAAGGGGCGCAGTGACGACGATGATGACGTCAGCAAAGGCCGGCGCAGCGGTGCAAGTGGCAGGGGAAGCCCGGGCAGGAAAGAGAAAAGCCTGAGAGGTGGGCCGGGCAGCCCGAGGGGCAGAAAAAGCCCAAGAGGGAGGCAGGAGAGTGATGGGAGTGGGAGGAGCGGGGAGAATAGTGAAGGGAGTGAGAGGCCGAGGGGAAGGAGCAGGGAAAGGAGTGTTGATAGTGGGAAGAGTGGGGAGAGGCGGAGTGTGGATAGTGGGAGGAGTGGGAGGAGTGGGGGGCGAGGGGATAGGAGTGATGATGACGAGAAGGGGAGGGGCAGGAGGGAGATGAAGGGAGGAGGGGAGGAGGGCGGAAGGAAGGCAGCAGCAGGTGGGGCGGCGACAAGGGGGGACAGTAGAGAGAGCAGCGAAAGAAAGAGAGGAGAGCGAGGCGGGAGTGTGAGCAGCAACAGCGGCAGCCCGAAACGAGCCAGATCCGGAGGAGATAGGGGGACCGATCAGGACAGGAGTGCAGCAGCCAACAGGGAAGGAGGGGCAAGGGGTGGGGAGAAAAAGCCACGGTCCGAAGCTAGTGGAAGGAGGTCGGGAGGGGGGGAAGATGAGGAGGATGAAGTGGATATAGACAGGGATGAGGGCACAAGCCGGGGGTCCCCTGCAGCATCAAGAGGGGACTCTAGGGGAGAGTCTAAGGGGGATTCTAAGGGGGGATCCAGGGGGGGTGCTACTAAGGGAGGGTCTAGGGCTGGCTCTGGGGGTCCCCCTGGCGGTCGTTCCCCCAGTCACTCCCCTGGTCGCTCTGATGGCGGGTCCTCTTCGGATGAGTCCAAGTAGGGCTGTTCTCTTCTGTTCTATTTTGTTGTGTTGGATTGTCTTGGTTGGCCAATGCATCCGTGTGGGGCACTAGAGCTTGAGATACGGGTATGACAGATCAGGTGCAGCTTTGGCACTTCAGGTGCTGCTTTGGCAATTTAGGAGCTATGGCAGATCAAATGCTTTGGCAGTTCAGGTAATTTGGCAGATCAGGTGCTTTGGTAGTTCAAGTGCTATGGCAAAGCAGGTGCTTTGGCAGTTCAGGTGCTATGGCAGTTCAGGTGGTTTAGGGGAATTTTCAGTGTGAGCCTGATATGAGGTTTGCTTGATACGAGGCATGGGAGCACGCTCTTACACAAATTTAGGGACTACTATCACATGTAAGGACTAGTATCACATGTTCTTCATCACAGATACCACTCATATGCACAAGTTCTAATCTTTAACCCTATTTGCAGTCTATATCCTACATAAATCTACGGTTTTTAGTTGTAGAGAAAGAGCACATTCCAGCAAAAAAAGGCGCTGAAAGCATGGAATGCTGAAATGGCGAACCAGCTACGCAACAGCCGAAAAGGAAATGGAGTTGGATGCACTAGTTGACAAGACGAAGCACTCATGCTTTGAGCGCAGCGTACATGGCATCAATGGGCTCCTGCGCACATGGCAATGGGGAGCAAAACCGCAGGGAAAGGATGGATGAGTGCGCAAGTTAGCACAAGCAAGGCAGCACCACGAGCCTCGTGTAACAAAGAGCATGAGCAGCCTCCCGCAATCGTAACTCAAAGCAGGAGCATCTCCTGGTATGGTAGTGCTTGAGCTGGGCATGCACTGGGCGTACTTTGGCCTGTTGTTGGGTGTGGTAATGTCTCTATCCATACAAAGGGCGTGCCATGCCCATACCAGCGTTACCACCCAGATGTGCTTGTTCACAAGAACGGAAGGTAGGGCGGCTGTAGACGCACCTGGTAGTACTTGAGCAGCTGAGGCCTCTTCTTCTTGAAGGTGGGAGTGAGGAGGTCTCTTGCTGCATCGAAGGGCACACTGTCCAGATGCACTCCCTTCACCATCTCAAAGCCCTTGAGCTGCTCCGGGCAAATGGCACGAAGGAGGGAAGGGAGGTGAGGAGGTGGGGAGGGAGGGAGGGAGCGAGGGGGGTGGGGGAAAGGGGGGGGGGGGGGGGGGGGGGGGGAGAGGGAGGGAGGGAGGGAGGGAGGGAGGGAGGGAGGAAGGGAGGAAGGGAGGGGGGGAGGGGGGGAGGGAGGGAGGGAGGGAGGGAGAGAGGTAGAACTTGAACAAGAGAGTGAGCAAAAGAGTGAGGGAGATGAGGGTGGGTGTGGGGGCGCCACGCCTCGCTCCACATCAACGAGGAATGTTGTCCTCTGGCACTGCATGCATTCATGCATGCATGACGAGGTCTGCACTTGCCCTTCCCTCTTCTCCACATACCCTTCCCCCCTCTCCCCTTCCCCTGTTCCCCTCCCCCCTCTCCCCTCTCCCCTTCCCCCCTCTCCCCTTGCCCTGTTCCCCTCCTTTCTTTCCCTCTCAACCCTTCCTCCTCCTGCCTTCCCTCCCATCTCCCCCCTTACCTTCTCTCCTCTCTGCCTCCACTCTCCCTTTGCCCATCTCTCTCTTTGCCCATCTCTCTCACCTTGCCCATCCCCCGTCCCTCACCAGGCCCTTCTTCCCAGTCTCTACAAGTTTCTCCAGGATGAACTTCTTGGCCTGGGGTGTCTGGCACAGGGCAGCATAGTCGCCCTCCACTCCAGCGCCCTTGGCCCATGCCTCTAGAGCCGGCTGGTTCGGCACCACCACCGCCACCAGCACCGCCTCGAAGCTGTTCCCGTACACCCACACCTGATATTGGGGTGGGGGTGGTGCAGTGAGGTGGAAAGGGGCAGAGCGGGTTACAACGGGGTGAGCAGATGTGAGTGGGGTAAAACAGGACTTTAGAGAAGGGAACCACACAGAAATTGATTACAGTTCAATAGTGAGCAAGCAACCCACCATGACCATAGCGGAGCAGATCATACTATTGCTCCAGGTTCCTTCCCATACTCGTTCTCCAGGACCTCCACAGCCACATGTGAAAGCCAAATCATAACTGAATCTGTAAATTCATTCATACGCATACCATAATGAGTAACTCACCATGTCTATAGCGGAGCAGTTGCCATACACATTCTCCAGGTTCTCGACGGCCACATACTCGCCCTGAGCGAGCTTGAAGATGTTCTTCTTGCGATCCACTATCTTCATTGACCCGTCCGCCTGCCACTCGCCCACGTCCCCTGCTCACAAGCAACGCATGGAAGGATGCACACATGCACACATGAGGTGACTCCTGAGCCGATTCAATAGTCGCTTGAAGATGTTCTTCTTGCGATCCACGATCTTCATTGACCCGTCCGCCTGCCACTCGCCCACATCCCCTGCTCACAATGACACACATGAATGGATGCACAAATGCACAGATGTACAATGTCACACTCGCACAATGTCACACACGCACAATGTCACACACACACATGCACATTGCACACATGTTCAATTGTACAGATGCATAGTTGAACACGCACACATACATGCATGCGACCTTGCCTGACCGCCCCATCCTCCTTTGTATCTTCCTTGATCAAAGTCTCCACCTTCCCTATTTACTATCCTCTCTCTAGCACACCTGTACGGAACCATCCCTCATCATCAATCGCCTCCTTGGTCAGTTCATCCCGCTTGTAGAACCCCGTGAACAGAATCGGGCCGCGAAGACATCTCTCGCCTCTCTCTCTTTCACCACCCACACCCTAATGCCCCTCCTCTTTCTCCCACATCCATCTCTCCCCACCCTCTCTCGCACACATACCTGTACCATACGACCGTAATTTTGAACCTTACTTGTATGGAACCATCCCTCATCATCAATCGCCTCCTTGGTCAAATCGTCCCGCTTGTAGTACCCCGAGAACAGAATCGGGCCGCGAAATATCTTCCATAGACTCCACCCACACACACCCCAACGCCCCCCTCCTACCTCCTCCCACCCTCTCTATCGCGCACACACCTGTATGGAACCATCCTTCATCATCAATCGCCTCCTTGGTCAAATCATCCCGCTTGTAGTACCCCGAGAACAGAATCAGGCCGCGAAATATCTTCCGTAGATGCCACCCACACACACCCCAACGCCCCCCTCTTACCTCCTCCCACCCTCTCTATCGCGCACACACCTGTATGGAACCATCCCTCATCGTCAATCGCCTCCTTGGTCAGATCATCCCGCTTGTAGTACCCCGAGAACAGAATCGGGCCGCGGAGGCAGATCTCCCCGCGGGCGGGAGTGGCGAGGGCGTCATAATTCATGTCAGGCACGGACTCAAGGCGCGTCTCCAGAGTGGGCATGGGGGGGCCCACCGTGCCTGCCTGCTCGATGCCCTCTGTGTACGAGATAAACCCACTGGCGTTGGTTTCGGTGAGACCTGATGGCATTAAGAGGGTATTGAGAGAAGGGGAGAGAGGGATTGAGGGAGTGGGAGGGGGCATGAAAAGGTGGGGAAAGAGAGGGAATGAGGTGAGGGGGCATGAATGGGAGTGGCGAGGGCATCATAGTTCATGTCAGGGACTGACTCGAGGCGCGTCTCCAGAGTGGGCGTGGGCATGCCCACTTAGGGGCATGGGGCATGGTTTGGTTTGAGTGAAGTGTGGTTCGCAGTTCATCCCAGCAAAAGATGCGCGGTGTATCCAGCGCCCGTATTGTGAACCCAATGGTGGCGGTCACCTGCTCATAGTAATCTTGAGGTGAGATTCGTTTTTACTGTTGAGTTGACTTCTGTGTTATATCTAAAAGCGGCTCACCATTTCCTTGGACCACGGGGCAGCACATGGTCATCTTAAGGAACTCCTAGTGTGGGGTGAAGGGGGCAACACCGCACTGCACTACTCTATAAGCCAGTAGGAGCAGCAGGCTCACCATAGCCCTTCTCTTCCCTTCACCTGTCACCATATCTGGCTTGACAGTAATTCACCATATCCTTGCACCACAGGGCAGCACATGGTGATCTTGAGGAACTCCTCCACGTGGGGGGCGAGAGGTGCAGCACCGCATGGCACCACTCTGTAAGCCAGTAAAGAAACTCACCATATCCTTGCACCACGGGGCAGCACATGGTGATCTTGAGGAACTCCTCCACGTGGGGGGCGAGAGGTGCAGCACCGCATGGCACCACTCTGTAAGCCAGTAAAGAAACTCACCATATCCTTGCACCACAGGGCAGCACATGGTGATCTTGAGGAACTCCTCCACGTGGGGGGCGAGAGGTGCAGCACCGCATGGCACCACTCTGTAAGCCAGTAAAGAAACTCACCATATCCTTGCACCACGGGGCAGCACATGGTGATCTTGAGGAACTCCTCCACGTGGGGGGCGAGAGGTGCAGCACCGCATGGCACCACTCTGTAAGCCAGTAAAGAAACTCACCATATCCTTGCACCACGGGGCAGCACATGGTGATCTTTAGGAACTCCTCCACGTGGGGGGCGAGAGGTGCAGCACCGGAGCAGATGGCCTTCACCCGCCCTCCCAGCCGCGCCTTGATCTGCACACAGGACACGCGAGGAAGAGACGAGTGAGACAGGTGGGGAGCAGGGAACAAGAGAACGCAGGGAGCGAGAGATGCTTTGAGGATTCTGACAAACAGCAAGGGCATGGGACAGAAGCTCAGAAACTCCTGTTCAACTGTTATGTGTCTTGGACATGTTCTCATTAGCGACCATTTACCTTGTTGAAGACAATCGCATCTGAGATCGGAGCGGCAAACTGCACGGCCACGCCCGCCCGGATGCGAGCCTGCTTGCGGCTGTATGCCAGGTCAAATAGGAACTTGCTAATGCCCCCTGCTGCTTCTACCTTCGCCTTCACACCTGGCAGGCAGGGAGGGAGATGCAGAGGATGGCGGGAGCAGGGAAAAAGGTGTTAGAGCGGACGGATGAACAGAGAGGAAGGGACGTGAACCTATAGACCAGGTAAAAAGAGGCCTATGCGAAACCGGGAACCCTGAGATGGAGGTGTGATGCAGGTCAGGCCGAGGAGGGGCGAGCCGGCAGCAGTAGTGTGACAGCAGAGGAAGAATATGTTTGATAGCAGTTGTGAGGGGTGAGGGATCAGAGAGGAGGGGAAGGGAGGGGGGAGCGGCATGGGAGCGACCAGCATGGACGCAATCAAAGACGCGAGGCATGCCACAGAAGAAGGGAAAGAAAGAGAGGATAGGGGAGAGGGGAGAGAGGAGAGGGGAGGAGGGGGGAGGGGGGGTGCTGACCAGCGTAAATGCGGTCGAAGATGCGGGGGACGCCACAGAAGAAGGTGGGCCTGAGCTCTGCAATGTCCTCCGTGAGCAACTTGACGTCCTGGAGAGAGGAGGGGAGTGCGGGGAGAGGGGGAGCGAGTGGGGGGAGAGGAGGGGGGGAGGGGAAAGAGAGGCGGGGGAAACAATTCAGCGGAATAGCGAGAGGGGCAGAAGTACATGCAACTTGTTAGTGGATTTACACGGACCCACCATACACATAGAGCCTCCAATACAAGCAGCGAGCACACAGTGCGAGCACAGTAACTGCTGGATTTCTTGCTACGGGATATGAGCGGGGATCACCCCACACGTGCGTGGATGAGGGCTCACCCCACGCCAGAAGCCAATGGCGCCACCGAAGTAGGTGATGAGCTCCTCAGCTGAGCGGTCAAAGATGTGCGCCAGGGGCAGGTAGGAGAGGTACATCTCGTCTTCGCCAAACTGTGAAGGAGGTGGGAAAAAAAAACAGGGGGCAAAATGCAGGCCAATATCAGGAACAACAAGCTGCAACCTCGCATCGCAACTAGTATTGCCAGGTTGAATCGGCAGGTATGTAGACGGGCACAAAGGCTGATGCTGTAAGATCGGGGCTAACGCATTTTGCTGTTAAAAACACCGCATGTGCTCCTGTGACTGTATGCAGCTGAGTCTTACGTTGATGTTATTGTATGCAACGAAATCCTTATTCCCGGCAATGGCAGCCAGCAATGCCCTGTGCGTCAAGAGAACTCCCTTGGCTCGCCAGTGGTGCCTGGGGTGGGAAGAGGGGGGAATTAGGGAGGGCACGCAGGTATGATATGACAGATTGTGAAGACAGATTGTATTGCAAAGCATTAGAACATGAATCTTGTGGACAAGAATCTGGAGTGCACACAGCGATTATAAATGTTAGGCCAAAAAAATGCAACCTGACATGAGCACAACATGATTTGGTTGCAACGGTGGTAGTAGTATCTGTATTGACACAATCAGGCACAAACGGCCATGCCTGAAACTGAGCACGCTACATCCGATGGTGCATCAAGAAGTACCTGAAGTGTACATGATCGTGCAAATATCCTCTGGCTTTGGAGGGATGGGCTCCGCAGAGTTCGACTCGCCCTGAAAACATCCAAAAGAAAGCGACAAGTGGTGTGCGCTGAATTTGCCGTTCCAGCATAGATGATCGTTTCTCCTGCAATGACTGCAATTGTTGACCTAAATGCGCTCTCAGGAATCACTAGATAGACCCCCTAGCTGGTCCACATGTGCTCACTGAAGGAAAATTGGCTGAGTTGGCCGTAACAACCTTAATACCCACAAAACAATCTCACTGAGCAGTACCTCCTTAAGAGCGTCCTCCCATGAAAGCGCCTTGATGCCAAGGTCCTTCAGTGCCTTGCTCGACTCCTCATCCACGGCTCCCATGCTTATAACAGCTGCCAGGAAAGGAACAAAGGAGAACGGAATTTACACATACTCAGTGGTTATGGAGGTTCGTTCAAGGAAGAGCATGTTCGAGATGGTTCGCTGCAAAGTGCGGCTCTATCAGTTTGTCAAAAGACGACACCGGGATAAGAACGACACTCACTCTTTACGTGCTCTGTGCACTTGGGGAGACTCTTGAGAAGCTGCAAACAGGAAGAGAGTCATGGGGTCGAATCAGAACAGATGCACAAATGATGAAAAATAAACCAGCTCACAGCTGAAGATTAGTCACGTGTACAGAGTTTGGAAGCAGTGTCACAGGCATAGATTTTCCAGCTGGTCGGTTCGCACTGGACTTGAGAGCTCACCGCAGGGAGATTGGCAGGCATGACAGCGACCGAAGACACTTCTGCGTGGTTCAAAATGAACTCCACTGCCTCAGGGCCTGCGGATAAGACAGCGGGGACACAGAGGGGATATGATATAGAGGGGATCGAAGTGAAATGATGCAGACATGCGGAAGTAGGTGAACGGAGGATGCTGAGGAGAAGCAGATAACCTTCCTTCTGCGATGCAGAGGAACCTTAAAGCGGACACGTACCGAGGGTGTCATAGAGTGGCACGCAGTGGATCGATTGGCTGTTGCATGCCTGCAAAAGTTACAGACATCTCCAGCACAATATCAGTGAGACTTCAAAGCACAGCTGATTGGGCTACAGCCTCTGAAATCAAGAAACGGAAGCCCGGTGATGTGAACGAACAATGCTTTTTAAATGCGTATGAGAAGCAGGCGCACCTCCATGGTCATGAACCATTCAGGCGAGTTGATCCCATATATGCCAACGCGGCTTTGCTGCACCAAAGAAAAAGAGAAAAGAGACATAATTTCAACATCAGTTGGAGAATAACGACGTTGTTACTATTCTATCGTGACAGCAAACGAAACACAGGAAATATTATATTGAAATGTTGAATCTCCATGGAAAATATGGCATTTGGTGAAAAGAAGCATCAACATACGGGTTGAAGGCCGTTGAAGCGAAGTGCAGACGCGATCTTCTTGACCGTAGCGCCAACCTCCTCGTACGTTTGCCATTCGTATGGACCCGCCTGAACGGTTTTTCACGTCGAACAGAGTTTTATAACACGAGACTCAACTTCGCAGGTATTGAAGTACAATTACCTGTTGTAGACACTAGCAACAGCGATATAAAAATTGTCGAGTAATTAAGCTGAGTAAATGCTTACCACGCCGTCGACGACTGATCGCTTTCCTAGGAACTTGTTCTTCGCGAATTTCTTGACGGAATTGCTGAGATCATCAAACATTCAAGGTTAGCAAATTGTGCAAGACGACTGACAAGAAAGAGATCCAAGTCGAGAATAAGATGGCCCCAGAGACTGAGATGCTGTACGCGGAGTGCGGTAACAAGATTAGGGGTATTCAGATGATAAAACACAACATTTGGATGGTTGAGACGTACTCGAAAAGCTCCCAGACGGTATTGATGCCTTCCAGCTTGGCATACCCATCCTTGGCGTAGAAACTTTTATACGTTGGTCCTGCATCAGAATAAGAAACCAGGTCCTTCAGTCTGCTAATCAAGATTGACGTTTCCACACTCAGACTGGCGGGGACACTGTGCATAAGTTGCAAGTCCAAGGGATTCACCTTTGGAAAGCACCCCTTCCGACGCTGGAACAGCATCTGCTGTCTTGATCGCCCACTTCATGGTGCCTTCCCCAGCAGGAGTTCCAGCCATGGCTGCAATTTTAGAGCCACTGAAAAAACACTGCTTGCTAAGGCGAACAGCAGCAAAATCAGCCAGAAACCTCTCAGGTAAGGAAATGCCGGCAGATCAATCGAAGGGGGGAGGTTGTGTCTGACGGGCTCGCTCACTGATTGATCGATGACTGACGAAACCTTAAGACCATCAGGTCAGTTGGCGACAAGTTTGGTTGACTGCACCTCGATGGATCTAAGCTTTCCGTTTGAGAAGATACACATTCGCGAACTGTGTCTACAGTATCTGTTTTCGCAAGGCAGGCGGCCAATCATGTTTGTCGCGCCACGCAAAGTTCCAGGGAGGGAACATTCTCCATCTCCGTCATTCTCAACCTCGACTTGCAGTTGAATAACCTGGAAGGTGTTTCGAAACACTAGAACAACAAAAAAATCATCGGCCATTTTCACGTGCATGCAGCTTAGTCTAGGAACTTTATTCAAGTGCATACAATGTTATTGGGCAGGTGGGTACACATTACGCAGCTTAGAAATTTTTTATCGTAAAATTACTCGCTTCCCAAGATTCGATTTTTTTTTTTTTTAGATAATGGATATGTACACCGGAAGAACAAACATACATAAGCAATAATAGTCGTAACTGTACCAAGTTTCGTTTTGAATTAGCACAAATAGTCGAGAATATATATGATTTCGGATTACACACTACCATTTTCAGGTGCATGCAACTTAGCAAAGGAGCGATATTCAAGTGCATGCAAGGTGATTGTGCATGTGCAAACGCGTTTCTGGGGTTAAACATTCTTTTCCGTAATTTCACACACTTATCAAGATTTGATTCGAGCTGGCACAAAAGGTCTGAAATATATGCGATTCGGGCAACGCAAATCGGAATCGGAATGTTTGGCTCTCGATGCTGCATGTTCCGACGTCACTAAGTGCAATGATTGCATTTTTGCCCAATTGCTACTCAAATTTATGCTTCGCACCAACTCTTTTTGAACGAATCTAATGCTAGATCTGTTGTACTGTTGACGGAGATGACGAGTGCTGCGGAAAGGTGTGCAAAAATTAGGAGAGGGTAAAATTGAAATATGCCCGAAAGTTTGTAGATTTTGGCCCTACCAAAATTAATGTTTTGTCGTACATGTATATTGAAATAAGTGGAATATCATGGCATTAATTACGTGTCATTTAATATACATGTATCGTACGGTATATCCTTAATAGCGGTAGGGTTAACTCTCCTAACACTCGGGCAGATTTCTCGAGTTTCGGATTACCATTTCCAACCAATGTACGTCCCATCAGGGTTTGCTGATTTGACCCGCGAAGCATCCGCAACCTGGCGCCAATAGTACAATCGATTTAGTATTAAATTCGTTCAAAAAAAGTTGGTGCGAAGCAGAAATCTGAGTAGGAATTGGGCAAAAATACAATCATTGCACTGAGTGACGTTGGAAAATGCAGCATCGAGAGCCAAACATTCCGATTCCGATTTGCATTGCCCGAAATTGCATCTATTTCATATCTTTGTGCCAATTCGAATCAAATTTTGGGAAGCGTATAAAATTACATGAGCAATTGTTTAACCTGAGAAACGTGTATTCACCTGCACAATAACCTGGCATGCACTTGAATAGCGCTCCTAGGCTAAGTTGCATGCACCTGAAAATGGCCGGATTACAGAAATCAAATCGGAATGGTTGGCTCTCGATTCTGCATTTTCCGACGTCACCAGAAGCAATCATTGCATGTTTGCCCAATTTCGACACGAAATTTTGCTTGCCCTAACTCTTCTTGAAACGAACTTAAATCTAGATCGGTTTGTACTGTTGATGTGCGTGACGGACGCTGCGCTTGGCAAATCAACAAATTCTCTTAGGCATGCAGAAATTCGTGTTAAAATTGGGCATAACATGCAATGATTTCTTCTGGTGATGTCAGAAAATGCAGAATCGAGAGCCAACCATTCCGATTTTGCTTTGCGTAATCCAAAATCGCATCTATTCTCCTCTGTTTGTGCTAATTTGAAATAAAGTGCGTGATTTTAATATACCACATTTCTAAGATGCGTAAAGTGTACACACCTGTCCAATAACAGAGCATGCACTTGAATACAGTTCCAAGAATAAATGGCATGCACTTGAAAATTGCCGAAAACACGTGGGTGTCGGGCGAAAGTCCCATCTCTGACTGCCAAGTGTCCCTCCTCTGGAACTTGGGTGACTTTAGTGATGCCTCCAGTACAATCTCCCAACATTCTCCCTAGCTGATTGTTCCAGCCCAAATCCCTACGGAAGTCATGACCAGGCCTGTCGAAGTCCCTGGAACCAACACTTTGAGGCCTAAGCTGTTCGAAGTTTGGCCCTGATTTTCACGAAGGTGATCGTTTTTTAGCCCTTAACGATCACGGGCGAAGGTAATATTCAATACTTGAAATCCGGGCTTCCTACAGAAATGTACGTGAGCTCTAATGGCACAAAGGCAGATGTCAACCTATTACTTAGCAGCGGGAAGGAGTATGCTAACGACTCATCTGCATACCTATAGCAAGGGGGGAAGTGGGGTGGGGAGGGGAGGAGAGGGGTCGTAGGGCAAAACATCGTCAGCAAAGAAGTCGTTTAAACTCGTGTGTACAAACGCAAAGTACTTCCGAGGTGGTCGTTTTTCATGTAGTACTACTAGTGTGAACTGATGGGGCAAATTTTCTCTTCACCACTTTGGGTGTCAGTGTCGCGAGTCCAGTGTGAGTACTTGGAACTGTGAGGAGACGAATTGACTTGAAAATATTTTGCAACTACAGCCATAAACATCAACACAAGAAAGTCCTTTTTTGCCTAAGTAGATAGCTTGTGGGAGATTCAGGGAGCTTGTGGGAGATTCAGGGAGGATGAGAGCGGGAGGAGAAGAGTGGCACTTGGGCATCTCGCAGGGCTACTTTACTCCTGATCCGGGAAATCAGGGAAAGGCCCCGAACCAGTCCTTAACGGATCCGGGTTGAGACCCCTATATCTCAAAATCAGCCCGTAAGAAAAACGGGCTTCCCTCGAAACCAACCCTTTGAAATGCCGAAGCTGGCTGGGAGTTCGCCCGGAATGTTCAGGGCATTAAGGAAAAATGCCCTTGAATCGACAGCCTCATGACCAGAATGGATTACTTTGTAGCAGGAACGAGAAGGAAACCAGCCCAGACCCACCGCACTTGAAGTTCGGGGGACTCGTAGTTTTGTTACTTGTAAGGCGCTCTTTAGGGCCCGCATTCCTTGTGTGCAACGCCGTGATTGGCGTTTCTTGGATCAACTATCACTCCACAAGACAGTCAGCAGCTAGCGAAATGTCGCAATCTTGCGTCATATCCCATGTCCAACCTGGTACATTTTTTAAGCTTACGACCTCTTATCATAGTCGCAGGCGTCCTACATTTCAAGCGATTAATTCCTTCGACCCACGAATTCCTTGTCGACGACCTCATTCCCCGTCAGGATCGCTACGCCAGTGTCTCAGCCATTCGTTCTCAAATCATACGAACGATCTATTTCATGGACGTCGAAGTCCCTCTAGTGCATTGTCACAGCGCTCACAGTCACACCGTTCGATGCGTCCTGAATCCCACCGTCATCGGACGGCTACACGAGCGTCGTCTACCAGCGGGAATGCTGGTCTAGATCCATCCGTTGAGCACAGCACCATGGTGAATGAGGAGCTGCTGCTCTTCTTCTACCAACTCGATCTGAATACCAGGCTTCAGGTGAGGGGAATTTTCGTTGTTTTATTTCATCAATAGAATTCTCACTTGCTAGCAGCATCACGCTAGAAAAGCAGTCTGCAATGTCGATTTTGCTTGACAATGTCAATGTCAATTTTTCACCTGGAAAGAGAATTTTCGATCCTCCTTACTCGTTCCGCAGAAAGCGCTCAACTTGGACCAGTACGAACCTGCTCAACTACTCCGGGAAAAGATTGCGGAGGTAAGACAAATCATGTGGTTCGACTTCTGACTAGTGCTGCTGAAGGTCGCGTATCGTTCTCGCCGAATCCGACTCTTACTCTCGGCCGCCTTTACTCTGATTATCTTGCTGTGGCAGCTTGATCGTGAAATCGCTCGACAGAGAGAAGCAAAGATGGGCACCTCATCCAAAGAAGCAGCTCAAGACAAGGGCTTAGCCTTGTTACGTCTCAAGTAAGAACATTTATCACGAACTTCGTACACCGATTCATCTGTAACATTATCTTGTGCGTTGATGACTATGTCTGCTCCATGATTTCTCTGATTGTTGTCTAATTTAATAGATTATGTGGATCTGGATCCTGGATGCTACTGACAGGGCAGGGCTGCAGCGAGCAGTGGAGCAGGAGCTGTACGAGGAAGCAGCTGAGATCAGAAAGAAAATGAGCCAACTAGAGGTGTGTCCTTTGGTTGCAAAAGTTGTGTCTTCGCAGCAGTGGACCAATTGGGGTGTCAGGAAAGGTCACTGTTTCATTATCTAGCACTAGTTACGCCAAACTATCAAACTTCTGATTTTGTTGTGCTCGCTATTTTCCAGGGTGACACTCTGGCAGCTTCTGCTGCAGCGTTGGCTATGGGCAATGTCACTTACAAGCTCCGGCTAGGGCAGAAAGTTACTCACAAAGAATTTGGTGAGTCTTTGTTAAAAAAGTGTTTGGTTTGTGTCATTATCTCGACTGTGAATCCCTGGCCAAATTGCTCCCAGTGCTTTCTGCTCTGTTGTGCCTGGATCCAGTCCCTGCTCTGTTAGCCCATCATGTTCTTTCCGCGTCCTTAACTGTTCTCCCAGGCTATCGAGGCATCGTGGCGGGGATGGACCCCATGTGCTGTGAGACGGAGGAGTGGATGTCGGGAGCTAAGATTAGCCGACTTGCGCGGGGTTTGAACCAGCCCTTCTACCAGGTTCGTCTGGACGGTCATGTGTAGTGATGCAACTGCCACCTCGCTCCAGCTTTATATGGCTTGAATCGATCTGTCTGTTGTTCATGTCAGCAGAATGGCTATTAGCCT